TAAATTCACCCTGTATTTAGAAGGCATTTCCACATTTATTTTATTTTTTTATTTTTTTAAATATGTTCATTTTAATTGTCCATCATATCTCCAACTGTTTTTGGTTCTATATACATCCTCATATCCACTTAGGTGACACATTAATCACCTCTGTTTCATTGTCCGCACCATCAATGAAGAAGTTAGTCACAGTTCATTAATGTTATGACTCGGCAGAAAGGTTAAGGACCCAAAAGCAGACACAGAGGAACAATTTAACAGTAATTTAATTGTGAAACATCTAGTAATTGTGCAAAAAGGAGCGACGGGGAGTGAGTCCAGGGTACCAAAGCGTAGTTGTAGGTGAAGCTCCTCCACGTGGTGCACTGTGAGTGTGGCTCGGTTTAGCCGAGCGAGTCCAAATCCTCATAGACAGTGAACCGGCAGACCGGTGAGTGAGCAGGCAGGCAGGCAGGCAGGCAGGCAAGCGATCAGGCAATACGGCTGATATCTGAGGCAGAGTGACACAGAGGTTAGCATACAAGCTAAAACACAAAAGCACAAGTTCACAATGAACTATAGATTATAAATAAGCCAACAACAGGCGATTTACTACAGTAAAACATGTTGTACTCAGGCGACGAGAGGTGGAGAGACCAGGGCAGCAATACTGCCGGATGACGAGGGGGAAATTGCCTGCACCTGGGCTGCCTACAGAGAAAACCACACTCACGTGCAATCACGACACACGGGAGGATAAACAGAGGGTTGAGACAAACAGAGGGAAATTAACAACATACAAGAGGAAGTGAAGAGCTGCTATGGGTTTAACCATGAAGATTGAAATCCATCCCTTCCTTCCACTGCTTCAGTTCACATTTATTTTAAATTTCTTAATACAATCTGTTCAACAGGTCTTTATAACTTTCAGTTTGCATGTACTACAAATAACCCAAAGACAAAGTGATCTATTGTAGCTCTTTAGACTGTTGTACTCTATTTCTTAATCATGTCTTTTTCATCAACTGAGAGCTTGGGCCGGGGTGGAAAAGGTTGTGAGCTTTCTGTGATACACATTGCAGTCAAGTGTCACAGGGGCGTAAACATAGGCGTAGAATTGCGTATGGACCGTATGGACGTGTCCATACCAATCTCAAACAATGGCTGAAATGTCCACACCAATATTAAGGTTGAAGGAAAAAAAAGGCACCTCATGCGGCACACAAAGGGTTAAATCCTTTGTGTGCACAGCTGGCAGCAGCAGCAGCAGCACAGCCAGCAGCAGCAGCAGCACTGCGGCACAAGTTGACGTTAGCAGCAAGCTCCAAGAAGTTAGCAGCATGAGTGAAGAAGAGAGTGTTGAGGCGAGCCAGACAGTTGTGTAGCCTCAGCATGGTAGGGCCACCTGTGATGATGAGGAACAGAGAGATGAGCTGGTGGAAGTTCCACAGACGGATACAGGGCAAATAAGTATGTAAACATGACATGAGAGAGGGAGAAAGAGAGTTACTTGCTGGCTGATGTTAGCAAATGTTATTCAGGTGTTGCAACATTTTTATCTATACCCAGTTTGTGTTGCTCAGTACATTGCAAAAAAATAAATGAAATAAAATAAAGTGAAATAATGATTATAGTAGTTAAAACAGCTCCACTTTAAAAAGTAAAAGCACAACAGTTTTTTATATATACAGTATATAGCCTATTTTTTAATATTACTGCATGTGGCATTTTACACCTAGAATGTTTAAAGTTTTGGTAACGTTACAGTTTTCTGATAATACTTACAAAGTTTGAAGACTTTGAATACAGAAGTTACATTTGTAGTGGTGTATTTTCATTATTTGTGCAGTAAGTTAATTACTGCATAAATTAATTAAGATTATTGAGTAATAAAGTAATCATAAGATTGCATGGAATAGATGATGTTATGATCAATTGGATACATAAAACCTGTTTTTTTTAATCCATTCCATCATTTGTTTAATCAGGTTGAGCTTAGACCGAGGGCAGAGGATGACACCCACGCCAGCTCAACCTTAAATTACTTTAAGCGCCCCAATTCAGACAGTCACAGCCTAGAGGTTTTTTTTTCTTACCACCCTCAGAAGAAGACAAAATACCTGACAGTAGAGGGACTGCAGTGTGAGGACACCTTCATTTCTTTGTGAGTATTCAAGTAAGACTAGAATACTATGCTCTTAACACAAGATCTAGTCAACATCAGTGCTATTGTTGTAATTTGGATGGTATTGTGTCATGAGTCATGATTAAAGTATTGTGACACCCGTGCCAGGCGTTGAGGACTTTCCGCGTATGGATTGTTGTGGGCCGGCCGAGTCAAAGTCCAGGGCTGTTTTGTAGTCCCAGTCCGTCCCTGGCTTCCACTGTGTGAAAACATACACAATAAAGAAAAGTACACTGTCCAAAAAAGCAGACCCGGCATTCTCCTCAAAGGGATTTGCTAATTGGAAAAATGCTCTTCATAGATTTGAATCCAATCAGAATAGCAAAGCTCACCACCATGCAGTCACAGTCAGTAGCCAAGAGGCAGCCCCAATAGAGTCACAACTCTCAAGTGCATGGGCAAAACAGCAAGATAATGCTAGGCACTGCCTAGAGAGCATTGTAGATTCTGTATAGTACCTCGCTAGACAGGGCTTGGCATTGCGAGGGCACAGTTCTGAAGAAGGTCATTTTTGCCAACATCTGAAACAGAAAGCCAAGCGAGATACCCGCCTCTCTGACTGGCTGTCCCGCTCTCATGACTATACAGCTCCACAAGTGCAAAATGAGATTTTGCAGTTGTTAGGAAACAGCATTGTCAGAGGTATTGCACAGTCAATCCAGGCTTTACCCGTCATGCAGTACTCCATCATTATAGATGGGACTCAGGATATCTGTGGTGTAGAGCAGGAGTCCATATGTATCAGATATGTGGACAACGACCTAGTACCTCATGAGGTTTTTGTTGGCTTATATGAGGTCTCAGGTACTACTGGAAAGGCAATTGCTAGAGTGGCTAGGGATGTTCTCTTAAGGCTTAACATTCCCATTGCTTATTTAAGAGGTCAAACATACGATGGGGCAGCAAATATGTCAGGGATGCATTCAGGAGTACAAGCAGAAATGAAGAGGCAGCAACCATTGGCATTGTATGTGCATTGTGGGACACACTGTATTAACTTGATAACACAGTCTGCATGTGAATCTAGTCCTTTAATACGTGATGCTTTGCAATGGGTGCATGAGTTGGGGACATTAAGCAAGCTCTCAGGGAAATTCAAAGCCATCTTTCCAGCAATAGCACCAGCTTCAGGGGACGGACCATCAGCCTCACTCAGACCACTGTGCCCCACCCGGTGGACAGTGAGAGGGAAAGAAATCAGAGCAGTGCTCTCCCAGTATGAGAATGTTTTGACTAGCTTAGAGGAGATGGGAGCCAACAATGGCACCAGCACAGGTGCGAAGGCAAATGGGCTCAAAGATCGTTTTGAAAAGGGCAAAACAGTGTTAGGACTTCTTTTGGCAGTAGAGGTAATTGAGGTCCTTGAATGTCTGAACAAGTCCCTGCAGAAACGGACTGAAACTATCGCAGGCATAAAGAGTGCGATTGATTGTGTAAGATCCACTGTACAGAGTAAGAGGAGTGAGACAAGCTTCCACGTGATTTTTGTTAAGGCAGTGGAAATGGTTGAATCCCTTGGGATTGAACCAATTCAGGTTCCCTACCAAAGGCCTCCTCCAAAACGCTATACTGGAGGGGCAAGCCAGCATATTCCAAAAACGCCAGAGGAATACTACAGGGCCGAATACTACAAAATGTGTAGCTGTCCAGTTTGAGGCAAGATTTAACCAGCCTGATCTGAGAGATCTTACAGGAACTTGAGGATGTGCTGGTCACTGGGGAAGTCAGTGAAATTGTTGGTCGTACCCAGAGCTAAACATCAACAGCCTTAAAATTCAGCTGTCAATGTTCAGGTCTAAATACAAAATTCAGTCCACCACAGATGTGGCTGATCTCATGCGAGAGATGCCAGTTGAGGTCAGGGGCCTATTTGATCAAGTAGAAACCCTTCTGAGGCTTTTGTTAGTCATCCCTGTATCATCGTCAGAGGCGGAACAAAGTTCCAGCTCTCTGAGGAGACTTAAAACATGGCTCAGAACCACAATGACACAGATAAGGTTGAACCATGCTGCTGTGTGCCATGTCAACCAAGAGAAGTTGGATAATGTTGACATTAAACAAATATGCCAGCAGTTCATTGGTGTTAATGAGAGGCGTCGCCATTGCTTGGCTCTTTTACATAAGAGCAAGGCAGTAGATGTTGGGCTATTAGGATTGAAGGTGTGATAGCAGTGTATATTGGGATTTATGTAAAAAAAAATAGAAAAAAGGACTAAGGCACTCTGTGGTAGATCTGTGAAATTGTATATAAATATAAGGAGCAGGCAGAATACGTGTTTCTGTATAATAGCAGTCTACATGCTTGTGTTTTGTTGTAATGTTAATGCTATGTATGATGCAAAGTTTAATGCAGTGGTTTGCACTATGACTGAAGTAAAGTTCAGACATCGCTATTACACAGCCTCCTCGTCTGTCATTACATTAGTGTCATTACACCGCTTAACAACGTATACAATTTTTGTGCGTGGTGGTGATGGTGGGGGGGGGCTATGTCCCCACCAATTTCAAAATTAAACCTACACCCTTGGGCGTAAATATCCAGCCTTCCACTGGCAATATGTTTGTACTGTAAGACCTATTATAGTAGGTCTGTATTATCTTAAACAGCATATAAAAACAATCAAAAAATACTGAAAACAATTGTGTAAATTAACTTTATTTTATCAAAAATATGGTTTAAACTTGTGGTTAAACATTATGAAAATAATAGTTTACATGTGTGATTAAATAGGTGAATGATTTGTAAAGTGAGGATATAGCTGTTTCATTAGCCTACAGAATGTTGGATGCCATTTGCAACTATTTAATTCACACTTGTTTAATTAAAGTCATTGGGTCATTTCACATCTGCCACAGCCATTGTCTTCCGTAAAAACATGATAAGGATTTTTTCTCTGACTGCTTTGATTTGTAGTCCGTAGATAACAGTGTTCATGGCAGGAGGAATGACGTGAAACAGGATGGATGACATCTTCCTTTCTTGTGATAAATGAGGGAAACGGTGTAGGATAATTATTATGCTGCCTGACATTAACATGATGATGTACACAGCCAGGTGTGTGACGCAGGTCTGCAGCGCTCTGCTGTTCAGCACCTTGCTCTTACTGATCACACACACAGCAGCAATCTTCATGTATGTGAGCGTGACGCTGCCGATTGAGGTGCCCAGCAGGAGCACGGTGTAGCCAAGACCATAGATGTTGTTGATGAGGACACTTTCACAGGACAGCTTAAACAGGGAGGCGTTGTCACAGAATGGGTGGAATATTTCCGCCCTACAGCGCGACAGGCGGACACTGAGGCTCAGCAGGATAAGCACCAATATGAACGACACCGCCCAGGCAGACACAGACAGCTTCACCACCATCTTGCTGGTCATGATGGTGGCATATCGGAGGGGGTTACAGATTGCCACGTAGCGATCAAAAGCCATGATAATGAGTACGGTGTGACAGTTGCTGGCATAAAGGTGAAGACAGAAGGCCTGAATCACACAGTTGATGTAATGAAT